GCCCTTGTAAGTAGATTTACCATCCTGATCATGTCCAGTTCTTCTTCAGATACCTTTGGTGGCTTCCTCTCTACCTCTGAATTAAAAGTCCAAAAGCATTATAATGTTGTTCTCAAGGTCCCACATAATTTGGCCTTTGTCATTTGATTTCCCCTTTGTTCTGTCCTAGCAGCATGCCTTCATGTTGTAGATTTACACATAATGTAAATGTAGATTTACACTTTTAGTAATCTTTTGTCTTCCAAGTTGCTCTTCAGAAATCCTTTCTACCATGATGCCACAGACCTTTTTCCTCCTCTTAGCTAAAAAAATAAGAGGATTAGCTTCTTTAAAAAAGAAAAAATCTTACGGAACCTTCAAGATATATGCATTACTGATCAGGCCTTAGGCCAGGGGTGAGCAAGAGGCTGCCAGCAGGCTGTAAATTGTAAATTGGAAAGGGTACAGAGAAGAGCAACAAGAATGATTAAAGGTCTAGAGAACATGACCTATGAAGCCAGGCTTCATGAACTGGGCTTGTTTAGTTTGGAAAAAAGAAGATTAAGGGGGGACATGATAGCGGTTTTCAAATATCTAAAAGGGTGTCACAAGGAGGAAGGAGAAAATTTGTTCCTCTTGGTTTCTGAGGACAGGACAAGGAGTAATGGGCTTAAAGTGCAGCAGGGGAGGTTTAGATTGGACATTAGAAAAAAATTCCTAACTGTCAGGGTGGTCAAATATTGGAATAAATTGCCAAGGGAGGTGGTGGAATCTCCCTCTCTGGAGATATTTAAGAACAGGTTAGATAGACATCTGTCAGGGATGGTGTAGGTGGAGCTTGGTCCTGCCTTGAGGGCGGGGGGCTGGACTCGATGACCTCTTGAGGTCCCTTCCAGTCCTATTTTTCTATGATTCTATGATTCTATCTGGCCTGTCAAGCCACCGGATTTGGCCCACGGCGGTCTCGCTGGGACCCTTAAGCATAGCACAGCGGTAGCCGCTTTAAACGTGGTTATTGTATTCTGGGATCGAAGGGGGAGGCTTTGTGCTCTGCCCCGCCCCCATCAAAATCTCTCAGCTCCTGTCAAGCCACCGGATTTGGCCCACGGCGGTCTCGCTGGGACCCTTAAGCATAGCACAGCGGTAGCCGCTTTAAACGTGGTTATTGTATTCTGGGATCGAAGGGGGAGGCTTTGTGCTCTGCCCCGCCCCCATCAAAATCTCTCAGCTCCCTTTGGCCAGTTTCTGACTAATAGCGGCTGAGATATTTTGCTGGTGGCAGAGGAAGCCTCCTCCTTCCCTCCCCCACACTCTTTGCAGCTTGCAATAGCAGCCTTCAGGTACCTGCAGGGCTGCTGACTGTAAGCTGCCTCAGTAAGCGCCTCCCAGCCAGAGCCTGCCTCTGGCATCGCCGCTCTCTTCCCTTCCCCCTGCAACTACCTGCCCCAGGTCACCACCCAAACTCTCTGTACTCCTTTCCCCCAAGTCACAACTCCTTCCCAGACCCTGCACCCCCTCCTACACCTTTAGCAGCCTTCAGGTACCTGCAGGGCTGCTGACTGTAAGCTGCCTCAGTAAGCGCCTCCCAGCCAGAGCCTGCCTCTGGCATCGCCGCTCTCTTCCCTTCCCCCTGCAACTACCTGCCCCAGGTCACCACCCAAACTCTCTGTACTCCTTTCCCCCAAGTCACAACTCCTTCCCAGACCCTGCACCCCCTCCTACACCTTTTCCCTAGGCCAGAATCCTCCCTTGCTCTGCACCCCATTTCCCTGCCCCAAGCCATCACCCAAACCCTCTGCACCCCTTCACCCAGGTCACAACTCCTTCCCAGACCCTGCGCCCCGTCCTAGAGCCCCACCCTCACGCCAGTATCCTCTCCTGCACCCATACTCCCTCCTGGACTCTGCACCCCAAGTCTCTGCTGCAGATCACAACCCCCTATTTCACCCAAACTCCCCCTCAAACTTCACACTCTCTTCTGCACCCCAGTCTCCTGTCCCAAGCTCCCTTCTGCACCCAACCTCTGTCTCAGACCCCAAACCCCTTCGGTAGAAATGTGGCCCTTGAGCACTTGCCAGAATCTTGGTGTGGCCCCACCATTAAAAATTATTGTCCACCCCTGACTTAGTCCCTGTACTTGTTATCCTTTGTGTTATTTATTGTATGAATGTTTATTTAATCTCTTCTGGGCAAAGATTTCATCTTCCATTTTTCCATTAAGTATCATGGCATCATATACAATTCCAGCAAGAATTTGAATGACTAGTGATGTTAAGGCCTCTGTTTTACATCACACCTGAAATTTAATACTGAAATCTATACTGTATTTTAATACAGTGCTGACTCAAAGGAAAGAATTATACCTACTATATTACTAACAATAGAAGGAAAATTGTGAGAAATCTGAGGCTTATCTTTTAAGTACTAGTTTAACCAACACAGTTAAGTTTGAGATTTGAATAATTGAGTTAACAACGCCTCTAGAGAATAATTACAGAATTATTGTTTCTTCTTTACTGACTTGCTCAAGTTTTCTCTTAAGCTTAGGGACCAACAGTTAATAATAGAGAAAACAAAATTCCAGTAACTGTCAAGTAAATTTCTCCCTTGCTGTTCAATTTTTGCATATTCTTGAATTCTGTCACAGTGAATTTTATGTGCTTGCCTCCATCCTAGAAGAAATTAGGCAAATACTAAAAGGATGTGTGTATAACTAAGAAGTTAATAAAGGATTGAGGGTAGCTAAAAACAGTGATTGCAGTAGATCATGCTTGATGATGTTTCTGGGATAGTGTGGCACAAAGTGAATTTTTAAGATATTGTTTCAAACTCGGAAACAAACAGCACTTTAATTAGAACAAATGAAGCAATATTATTTGAAAAATTGTCCATTTCCATGCAACCCAAGCATCTAGATTTTTTCTTTATATGGTTTACTTTTGTTCCATATTTCCATATGAACACACGCAAAATTAGGGAAAAATGAGTATGATCCTAGAATTGTGAGAAGTGACTTACTTGAGGACTCCTGAGGAGGATGGCTGTTAGATGACCTTTTCATGGGTTAGCATTTTTTGCTTCTCACCTATACCATGACAATTTTTTTTTTAATTATGTTAAAATCATAGCCCTGTTAATGAGAAATCAGTCTGTAAAGCGGTAGTCCCCAAACTTTACAGAGCCATGCTCTCTTTATCACATTTGCACCTCCCCCTGACAGGAGTGGGGCTACCTCCAGGCTCCTATGCTGTGGGCAGAACTGGGACGATCACTGCCAGGTTGGAGGTCAAGGCCGGGGACAGAGCAGGGGCAAAGCAGAGCTGGGAGCAGAGCAAAACTGGGTGGTGCACCCTTCTAATGCCCTCCCAAATGTTCGTCAGTGCCCCTCTTTATAATTCATCCCACAGTTTGGGGACGTGTTGTAATGTTACTACAGGTCCAGGATTCAATAAAGCACTTTCTGGGACTTAGCCTGGTTTAACTTTGGAAAGGTGGAATTTCACACTTGTTGAGGAAAAAATAATAGTTTGTTTATTTTTAAAAACAAAGATAAGACAGGAGGGCAGGCAAAAAGTAGCTATTTGGAATGTTAGGATCTTTCTCAAAGGAGATGGGTTGGGGCAGAGAGGACAGGTGAGGCCGTAAAAAGTGCATGATAAATGCATTTATCAGATGGCCTATAAAGTTACGATTAATAGTTTTATAGTAATCAAAGGCATGAGACATGGTAGAGATAATGTGATCCTTACCCAAAGTGTGAAATTTAAATTTTAGTTAACAGATGGAGATAAGCAACAGTAAGAGAATGGGGAGAGAAAACAAGGGATACCAAAATTTAGTGTGGATATTGATGCCACATGGGCTAAGAGTGAATGAGTGCATACAAGGTATAGAGAAGAATGCTCCTGCATGTCAATCTGAAGTAGTTGTGATCATTCAAGGGATAATAGTTTTAAGTGAATGTGTGTTGGTAATACAAGATGTTCACTGTGAGATGACTGTATTCTGGCACTTGATTCCCTACTTGATCTCTTCATCTGCTAGACCCTAGCTTTGATGACTTTCTGGTGTTGGTGGGCTGTTTTATGATATGGTATAGGTTTTGGAACAGGTGGCTGGGGACTCCTAGAATTAACCATTGTGGGTTTTTTCTATTTTTTTAACCTCGTAGAATTTATGCATAGCTTTACACATTGATCCAAAACTCTCTGAAGTCAGTGAAAAGTCCTCCTTAAAGGACTGTGTCAACACACTTTAGAAATCCATGTGTGCATATATGCTGCTCAGAATAATGAATTACTAAAATGCTCTTCTGGTGGGGGAAGTGTAAAATGTTATTACAATGCAATATCTCCATCTTTTGGGTTTATATTGTGTCAAGATGGATTTTTCCACACACATGGAAAACAGGTTAGTTTTAGAAAATCTTTACGGGTTGTCACGTGAATGTATGAAGGGCTTAAATACAGGAGCTATTTTTATTGACCTTATTCTCTAAACTATTTTTATGCATTAAGAATGATGAGAACTTGATTATGAAGATGCTATAATTTTATACAACACTATTAGAAGTGATATTCAGCTTTTCATGTCAAAAATCAGAGATTCATTCTTATACAGTGGCAATCAAGATGCCACTCTGGGATTCTCTAATCTCTAGCAACTGCCTATCCCTAAAATACTGATCTTATGAATAACAGAGTGGGAGACTTTGGGTTCGATAAAGATTAGCATCACCCTGCTGCTTTGTAATTATCAGAATCTGGACAGTCACTTCTTTGGATGAAATGATGCATATCATTTGTGCATCCAAATTAAAGCAAATGTAATGTGATTGTAAGAAGAGTTTTCAAATCTCCCAGTGGGATGTCATAGGGTATGTTTATAAACTCCAGCTAAGCAGTTGTTCTGCAGTGGAATTCCACTGGCATTGAGATAATAATTTGCACAGTCAAATTGCCTTCTTTACAAAAACCCAGGGAATTATGAGAGCCTAATCCTTTCTTAATGTCAACTCATAGGCAACAAGAAAGCGTAAGATTGCCATTCGAAAAGCCCAGGGGAAAAATGTTGAGGCCATCCGAGAGCTGAATGAGTATCTGGAACAGTGAGTGTTTTTACAAGAATAAGGGTTGTGTTTTGCTATCCTGATAAATCTTTTTAATTAAAATGGTATTTGCATTTGATTTATGCCTTTGCTTCCATGCAGTTCCTTTGCAGAATCTCTACACAAGCTGCTTTTTTATTTCTTCCCATCCAGATTTGTTGGGGACCAAGAAGCTTGGCATGAACTTGCAGAACTTTACATCAATGAACATGAGTAAGTTGCTTACTGAGTGTGCATAAGAAGTGCCAGCTTGAAATTTTATCCATGTAAATCATAATCCATAGTGAAATTTTATCCATGTAAATCATAATCCATAGTGACTATTTCTAAAGGCATTTTTACAAATATACAGTTTGATTTCCAATTTAAAGAGAACACAGTAACATAATTAGGAATCTGATCTGGGTAGCTAATTCTTTAACAAGGTATTTTATTTAAAAATAGAATGGAGTTAACAAAGAGTGTGTGTGTGTGAGAGAGAGAGAGAGAGAGAGAGAGAGAGAATGTTGACCATATTTTGTTTAAAATGAATCTTGCTAGTGTAGAGAAAATATTAACCAGTTTTCGAAACATCTATATTTTAAATGCTTGGAGTCTAGAAAACTATCTGTGGATAATTTAATGCACTCAGAGGAATTTTCAGAGACTTCTGTAAAAGGATATAGTAAAAATTGTATTCATTTACCATGTTCTTTTAAAAAAAAAAAAATGGACCCGGAGTAGGGGCATTTGGTTGCCTGGGTACAAAACTCAGTGCAGTCAAGAATGTTGAATGTTATAGGAACTTGCTTATTGGATATTTAATGTTTTTGTTAGCTTTTTTTATTGCTGTAGTGACAGGAGGAAATCCCAGTGTGAGAGGATTAACCTAAAGCCTTAGTGTGAGTTTTCTAATATTGCAGCATTAATTCTAACCTCTATCTAGAGGCATGTCAAATTTTTTCCTCTTTAGTTCTTCACCAAGACTGAATTATATCACATTGTTTCCTTCCTTCCTTTCCAGAAAGTAGTAAAAGAATTAGATTCTCAGGGAAAAGGTGACCACTCTCATTGTGCCAGAAAAAACAGTCCCATTTCCCATAGATAGTAAAATTCAGATCTTCTGAGTCTCTATCGATTTATAATTTTAGTGCCCAGATTTTCCATTTCTTTTGGGAAATTTGCCAGCAACTATTGCAGGAAAAATAAATAGTTCAGAAAACCTTTTTATTGCAGTGTATAAAAATATATAGGATATAGTAAAAGCTATAGCTACATGATTATTTCTTTCTCTAGTTTTTTGCTGATCTGCTTTTTAAAAAAAATTCTTAAGCAATAGTGTATGGAATTTATCTCCTGAGTAAAATGAAAAATTGAACCACATTGAATGTATACCCACAAGTATTATCAAATAAATAGTTTTCAAGACTGTTGGTTATGAAATAATGCAAATTCTTGGCTGAGAAACAAGCTGAAAATAACTTTTTTAGGAAATAATTGTTGTCGGCCTGCCTTTATCAGCTATATCATAAATTCTCTTTTGACTTTGAAGATAGTTACAGTTACGAATTTCAGCCATGATCCTGCAAAGATTTATGCACACACTTATCTTTTAATAACTGTGAGTAGTCCCCAGTCCTGCAGTCTGATCCATTAACGAGGTACCATGTGCTTCTCCAGAGCCTCAGTGGAGGGCTTTGGAGTAGCCATCCATCTGCGTATAAGCTGAATCAGGGCCATGATAATCTATAGTGATAAATGTGTGTGCCAAGAGACTGAGTAAAATGTGAATGAAAATTGCCAATTTTTATTTTAAAAAATGCCATCACAATTAGAAATTGTGCACCTATAAACTTTCATCATATGGTTCATTTACTGTTATAACTAAAGTAAATATCTGTCAATATTTATTTTATTAAACCCATTTTTCTGCTGTTTCAAACCGCATTGAACCAAGATGTTTTATCCCTGGTTTAAATCAAATTCTGAAAATGTTACAGATAATATTGTAAATCATTTGAGCCACATTACAATTATATGGTTTTGTATATTTGGAAAACAAACAGGTCCCAAAAATAGTGTTGTGAGCTCTTTCTCAGTAAGGACTTCATTAAAGAAAAGAGTGGTTATGTCCTCTTTTGAAATGGTATAAAATTTATATTAAACTTATACAGTAGGTATGTTGTGTTATTATGCAAATCTTCTTGACCTGATACAGAAATATTCATGTTACGGTGTTAGGTTTCAGTCTTGCAATTAATTCCCAAATGATGGTACCTTGTCTTTTAAAATTATTCAATGTTTTGCAGCGGTTTTGGGTTTTTTCAAAGTTTTGAAGGTACGTTGTATGTACAGTGATACTTATCATTAGGGTTGCCAGATAGTTTCAACAATAATACCAGACACGCTTGACATTACATCACAATCTTCATTACATCTTACTTAGAAAATACCGGATATTTATATTTTCTCATTTATATTTTCTCAATTTGTTTCCTGAACAGAAAGCTAAAATACTGACCTGCCTGGTTCAAAACCGGACACGTGGCAAGCCTGCTCATCATTGTTTAGCGGGTGTCTTAAGTTTTCATATGCTACATCAGGGGTGGCCAACCTAAACCTGAGAAGGAGCCAGAATTTACCAATGTACATTGCCAAAGAGCAACAGTTATACGTCATCAGCCCATGTCATCTCCACACCACCACTCTCAGCACATCCCACCCACTGGCAGCCCCACTGGTCAGTGCTTCCTTCTCCTTTTCCTCCTGCCCACTGTGATCAACTCTCTCTGTGGGAGACATTTGAGGGGAGAAGCATGGGTGTGACAGGCTCAGTGGAGAGGGTAGGAAGTGGAGGATCCTAGGGAAAAACGGTGGAAGGGGACAGCACTAAGGCAGATCTGGGAGTTGAACAGTGAGCACCTTCCGGCCTGTGGAAAGTTGGCACCTGTAGCTCCAGCCCTGGATTTGGTACCTATGCAAGGAGCTGCATATTACATTCAGAAGAAGCATAGGTTGGCCACCCTTGTACTACATTAATTGTTTGTATGTGCCAAAACCCTTAAAATGACACAACATATATACTCAATACTGGTGACATTTTGTAAAAATCTCACTGACCATTGTACGTGTAATATATATATTGGGTTTTCAAAATGTCATTGCATTCTTGAATGTAGAATAAATTCAATGCATAATCCTCTAAAAGAAACATGAATTCACAATGGTATGAATCTCAGTGCAAATGATCTATCTTAATTAACTGGGCATTACGATTTTATGTTAAAATTCAATAAGTCTTCAATTAAAAAAAAATCTGTAGTGGTAAATTTCAGGAAATGACACAGTATATAATTGTAATAAGGACTAAAATACTGAACTGTAAAGAATATGCTAACAAAGACCAATACATGATATATGTGTCATAAAGTGCCATCAGTGCCTCTCTGCCATGTATATTGGCCAAACTGGACAGTCTCTGTGCCAAAAGATAAATGGACACAAATCAGCTATTGCGAAAGGTAGCGCACATAAACCTCTACGAGATCACTTTAACCTCACCAGTCATTCAGAAATTGATTTAAAAGTAGCCATCCTTCTACAAAAGAACTTTAGAACCCCATTATAAAAGGAGACAGATGAACTGGAGTTCATTTGGAAACTCAGGACAATCAATTTAGCGTTGAATAAGGATCTTAACTGGTTAGTACACTACAAAGGCAATTTCTCCTCTCTGTATTCACGTGTCCACATGAGATGCTGCAAATGAGACACATCCACTCGGACTCGTTTAGCCTCATTAACATCACTCCTACACTTGATAAGTAACTTCTTTTGTTGCTCTTATATATAACCTTTGCCTCTGTTAGTCTCTAAGGCTATGTCTGCACTTCAGCATTATTTCGGAATAACTGAAATAACATTGTCCATGTCTACACTACAAGTCTTTATTTCAAAATAATGTCATGCTGGAGGACTTCTTACTCTGACTCATTGTAACCCTCATTTCACGAGGTGTAAGGGAAATCAAAGGAAGAGTGTTCTTCCTTCAACTTCCTGCTGTGTAGACCGTGCCAAAAGCCAAATTAAGCTATTTCGACTTCAACTACGCAGTTGATGTAGAGTTGAAGATGCTTATTTTAATTCGACTTTAGCCTTGCTGTATAGATGTACCCTATGGTACCTCAGGACTCCTTGTTGTTTTTGCAGATTCAGACTAACATGGCTACACCTCTGAGACATCAAATTAGTAGTTTGTTTCTGTTTTTGATGTTCCTCAGCTATGCAAAGGCGGCCTTCTGTTTGGAGGAGCTTATGATGACTAATCCACACAACCACTTATATTGTCAGCAATTTGCTGAAGTAAGTATTTTCAAAAGAATTAATTGCATTTAATAGCTGTTCTAATTTTGCTACTAATGGGGATAATACAAACTGTGTGTGTGTGTGTGTGTGTGTGTGTGTGTGTGTGTTTGTTCGCCCCACCATCATTTTTGAATGTACAAATTCTTGTTGAAGTAAACTAATGTTGTTGAATGCTTTTCAATGAAGTTTCAAAACTAAATAAATGAGAAATTAAATCTTTGCATACTCTTACTGCTTATCAGGTAGTTTTTCTTAAGTATATTTTGCTTAAGAAATATATCTGTCAAGGGGCTAGCGCATTTTGTAGGAAATCTTGCCTGAAAGAGAATTGAGAGAAAATTACAAGGTTTGACCCAAAATATTTAGCATTTTGCACTAGATTTCAGTTTTCATTTTTTTTTAAAATGGCAGTATTATTAGTGGTAGTAAATATTCATTCTGTTTACATGGATTAAATATTAGATAATTGTTTAAATTTCAGGGTCTGCTTATATTGATTTGTGGTTTCTAGAAATCCAAATTTTCTACAATACATCTTCTAAAATGTATTCCTTCTCTAGCTAATGTAATACTGTAATGAGAATTACTTAAATTTCTCCTTTGTCCGTGACATTTTAAAAGAGCAGTGACTTTTTTTTATAGTGAAAGCATTTTTTTTAAAAAAAATTGATTATTAGAAAGATCAGATTCTCGAAGCTATAGTGAAAGCATTTTTTTTTTTAAAAATTGATTATTAGAAAGATCAGATTCTCGAAGCTAGTGCTTTGCCTTTTGTGTATCACTTGGCACTCAAGATTTAGATGAGTCTTACCAGTCTTTATAAGCTTTTTGATTCAGATAGGAAAATATCTACCTATTGCTGTTACTGGTATCTGAGTAATGATGAAACATGCAAGTAATAGAAGAAGTAAAATAAAAGAGGTTTCATCAATGCATAATTTTAACAGGTTAAATATACCCAAGGTGGGCTTGAGAACCTTGAACTAGCAAGAAAGTATTTTGCGCAAGCGTTGAAACTGAATAACAGAAACATGAGAGCTTTATTTGGACTATATATGGTGAGTTTGTATACTTATTAAGTGTGTGTTTTTATTTAAAATTGTGCAGTCTTTCTAGTCTAACATAATATTATTACTGGTTTGAATAAGATGTATTAAATATTAGGAATTAACTGCTTATTAGGCCAATGCATTAAGGAGCTTCTTCCATGCCCATGGAAATCAGTGGAACACAAAAGGACCTGAATTCTGTTTTTGTTCTACCCCAAATTTTACATCACATTTCTGTGCCCTTAGTTTCCCATATATCAGATGGAATATTTATACTTCAGGCTTCTTTGTGAAGTGCTTTGAAATTTTGCTAGTGTCCTGGAATGTGTTTGTTTTGTTTCAGAATTTGCTTGCAAAAGATGTGATTGTTCTAGAACCTTCTGAGTGCTACAGAAACTTTGCAAAAATGTTCCCAGTTGACAGCACCAGTTCATCTCCACCAGGGGTAGCAGCAAATGAAGCCTAGTGTAAATGAATAATGGTATTTTAAATAACTCGCCTTTTAAAAGCAACAGGATAACGTGAACTGTAGGAGCATTAGAATTACTTATTTAACCTAAACTTACAATTTACAAGCATTTTGAGGATTAGGTGATAGTATGCGCTTTTTAACAATTATATTTTATTATTGTAGGACTGTCTTAACCTTAAGTTAATTGTATTTTTACTTGGGAATAAAACAAAAAAATAGTGGTCACTATCTATCAGAAGTTTAATAACGAATCAAACATACTACTTGTAACAGTTCCTTTTCTATTACGTGCACTCCCAAGAACTGAATTGTTATGCATTAATGAGATCAAATTAATAATGCATTGAATCTTTTTCCTAAAACTTTGGCTTCTTCATTACTAAGTGGTAATGGGATTTACTACTACCAGAGAACATGAAGAATCCCAGTGTTTCTGCAGCCACAAGTTATATAATTAATTTTGAGAATTTTCTGCAAGGCAGCAATTATTCCATGTGTTCTGTGTTAATGGAAACCTCTCTAATGTATCTGTGTTCAGCGTTTATATTGTTTGTATTCATATTTATATTGTTAAGAGATGACATGCACAAAGCCTGAATTATCCTCAAACTGTGGATCTCTCATGCCTCTAACGTGTCAGTCTGGATACTAAGGGTGTAAGCAACTAGTTAACTATCCAATAAGCAGAAGCTTATCGGATAGTCGTCTAGTCCCTCGACTAGTCACTTCCCCACCACCACCTCACTGCCTCTGTCAGAAGCTGCCAGCACCGTCTCTCTGGGGGGGAGAGGAGGGCATGGAAGGCAGAGGGGTAGCAGGGACTGGGCATGAGCCGGGAATCAGCTGATTGCCGGTTCGTGCCCTGTCCCAGACGCTGTGCCTCTGGTTTTTAAATGTATTAAGAGCCTTCTCCCAGCCCGGGATCTAACACTGCTGCGGCTCCACCACTTATTGACTATCGATTAGTCGATGGATTTTCAAACAACTAGTTGATTCGTTGATTAAACTAAATTTAACATCCCTACTGGACACTAAGGATATGTCTACGTTGCACTTAGAATCAGCAGTGTCAGCTGATTCAGGGTCTGAAGGCTTGGACTAAAGGGCAGTTTAATTGCAGTGTAGCCTTTCGGGCTCAGGCTTTGGGACTCTCTCTCCCCCACCCCATCCCCGTGCAGGTCCTAGAATCCAGGCTCCTGGCCAAGCCTTAACAACTCTACTGCATTTAAACAATCTTAGGCCAAGTCCCAGTCAACTGACACTGGGGATGTAAAAAGGGTTAAAAATACTAACCGTGTAACCAATTAAATTATAATTAGTTACATGGTATAAACACCGGTATTTTTTAACCTGTCATGGTGCTGCTCGACCAGCTGCTAGCCCCGCAGGTTCCTACCAGTCCTGCGAGAGTTTAACTGATAACTGGAATTAATAAGCATCAGTTTATCGGTTAACAGATTAACCTTACATCTCTAGCTGGCATTAGCCAGCTGTGGGTTTTTAAGTGGAATGTAGCTATATCCCAAGCCAATGGGTTTTATAGCCACCTTGCTTGCAGATGGAGCCACAAAAAGGCCTCTGCAGGCCAGATCAGGCCTGCCAAGCGGGTTGATCCAGCCCGCGGAGGCCCTGCTGCTCCCCCGCCCCCAGGCCAATTTGAACTGGCCCCCGGCCAAAAATTATTGCCCACCTCTTCACAAAGCTATTTTCATATATTTTCATTCCATAAATGGAGATGAACTGATAGTAAAAGAGCTGAGTTTATTTAATCTCCTGCACAGAAACAGAAAAGAGAGACCCTCCTGTGGACAGCTGAGCCCCAGGGTCTTTCATTTTAGTGAGATGAGCTCTCAGTTCTTTTGAGAGTCTTGTTTTAGGCTGGAGACTGTTATGAAACTATAGTTCATTTTACTTTTTCTCTTCCTTCCTTCCTGTTGGACCATTCCCACAGGTCTGCTCTTTTATAGATGTACATATTTTGCAACCTTACTATTTTTTGTTTTATAATCCTAGTCTGCGAGCCATATTGCTTCTAATCCCAAAGCAAGCGCAAAAATGAAAAAGGACAATATGAAGTATGCCACTTGGGCAGCTAACCAAATCAATAGAGCTTACCAGGTTAGTATTTTGAGTACATTATGAAGCCTTCTTTTTGACATTCTGTACATCTTGATGTTACAAAAAAATGGGTTAATAAAAGACAAGATATTTTATTAATTTTTCTGCCTCTTAAAAAAAGACAGATTTGCATCTTGCATAAATCAGCATGACATGATTTATTTCAGATCACACCAGATGATGATTTGATTCAAATGTATACACACTATTTCCATATAATTTTTCATGAAAAGGGCTCAGATGTTTTAGCTGCTGTATTAATGTGTATAATCTACTGATTTTTGGGGGGAAAGGGAGAATAATCTATGATTAGTTCTTTCTAGTAATAGCGCCCAATGCATAGAGTAACATATATGAATCTCCAAGACTTAGAACTATATATAGCTGATTCTTTCATCATGTTTGATATCTCACTAGGCAAATAAAATATTTTTACATTTCTGTTTTAGTTGTGTAATTTACTAAAAGAAAACTAACAGTTGTTACCCTTCCTTTCAGGTTTATAAATACCAAAAAAAATTATTTAACAATTTACCAAAGTATCCTATAATGTGCCAAATCCCTGTTGATGCTGGTTTTCCATAGTTTACATTTACACAAAATTCAACTTTGTGGGCCAAATTCACAGCTCATTCAGGACAATGGGAGTCTTTCTAATGGTTTAAATGGTTACATAGCAGACTGTATGTAAATTTCAAGTAACTCCAATTGGGAAACAATTATTGGCATGTTGATTTCTGTTATCACTCCACTCTCTGCAATCATATTCAGAATTTGCCAGCTATTCAGCTTGCTTCTTATTTGTACCATGGTTGCAAATTAGGACCACAGTAATTGTACAAATACTCAAGAAGGCATGGTCCCTGCCGTAATTCCTTCTAAGGTGCCAGCGTAGGCGTGCACCAACAATTTGACTCCTACATATCTCCTTGCTTGGTTGCTCCAGAGCAGGGCCACTTAATTGCGGCTGCCCCGCCGCAGCCCTAGCTTCCACAGGGCTGGCACTTCAGCCAGTGTGGGCTGCATGGTGGCTGCAGGAGCTGAAGCCTGGACCGCAGCCTCGCCATAGAAACAGTTGGGGCTGCAGCTGTATGGTGGCTTCTGAGGCCAGGACCATAGTACTAAAAATAGCAATGCAGTCCCGGCTCCAGTTTTGGTAAACAGGGCACAGCCGTGTGACAGGCAGCTGTCCTGTGTGCCGGGACTGGAACTGGGCCTGTGATGCCATTGTTAGTACAGCGGTCCCAATCTTAGAAACTGCCATACAGCCAAACAGCGGTCCCAATCTTAGAAACTGCCATACAGCTGTTCCTGGGGCGGGGCCACATGGCGGGCAGATGCTGCGTGTGCTGGAACTGAAGCCTGGCCACAGTGCAGCTACTCCTGGGTCTGGGATGCAGTGCTAAAAATAGCACCGTGGTCATAGCTGTAGCCCCAGCACGTAGGGCAGCCACCTACCATGTGGCCAGTTCCTGACAGGTGCAGATGTCAGGAAGGCAGAAGATAAATGAAGGGAAAAGGAGAGAACTAAGGGAAGAGTGGGGGTGAGGAGAGGAAGGGGCTTGTGCTGAAGGGACAGGACAGGAGAAGAAAGGGAAAGGCACCAAGGGGCAAAATGATGGAGAGAGAAATGAAAGGAGGCAATGGGGGTAAAGGGCAGGAAGAGTGGGGATGGGAAGTTGTCAGTGGGGGTGGAAGATGGGAGAGGACAGGATGATGCTGGAAGAGGAAAGGGGAAGGACAGAGGAGAGGGGGCAAGAGGTAGGAAGAGGAGAGAGTAGTAATGGGTACCGGGAGAAGAGGTGGGTATGAGGAAGGCAGGGGATGGAGCAAGTCATGTGTGAGGGCATAGATGGATGTGAGGAGAACTGCAGCAGAGGGTGGACACCAGGGAGGAAGATGGTATAGGGGCAGGTGTTGGGAGGCAGGGGCAGTGAGGGAAGGGGGAGGCACCAGGAAGGTGTAGAGGGTAAGGGAAGATGTAGATACCAGGGGAACTGAGGGGGTGAAGTAAAAGGGCAGACACAGGGAGGGGAGTGGGGGGAGGGATGGGCACCAGAGGGTAGAGGAGCGTGACAGGGCAGATGGGTAGAGGGAGGTGTTGGGAGACGGGATGGGGTGGGGTAGCTACTGGTGATCACAGTGGGACTAAAGGGCACAGGGAAAAAGGGAAAGATGTATGCAGGGGTCAGAGAGAATGGGGTGGGGGCACATCCAAGGAAGGCTGAAGGGAATGAGACGGGCAGGATCCAGGGCAGCAGGGAAGAGTGAGGGGTAGGGGAGCAGCCGCAGGCACTAGGGGAGTAGATGGGGTGAGAAGAAAGTGAGTGGTGTGGCTCAGAGGGAAAAGGGAAAGATTTATAAGATTTTTATTAATAACTTGGGTGCCACAGTGGCACACGTCCAAACAAGCATACATGAACTCAATACAGGTGCACATGACAAAACTCACTCCAGCCCTGGTTCAAAGATCTTAGAGGGAACACTGGTCCCTGCCTCACAGGTCACAGTTTAGTTTAAAACAAATCACACAATGTGGATGTAGCAAACAGAGGGGAGTAGGGTAGAGAAAAATATATTTATATTGACTAGTCTTTTCTATGTGGTGATTTTTATCTGTGTAGAGTCCACTCGCTTAGGCCTGTCATTTAAGTTAGATCATACCAAATTCATTGAAGATGGCAGGCACCATCTTTCACAAGCCTGGCATCCCTAGAAACACTTTCCATGCAGTTGTTCGTTTAAGTTTGTTGTCTTGCAGTACAAGCCTTTCTGGTCTCTCGCCCTCTTTTATTGAACAAAATGTATTAAGTGTGAAGAAATACTAACACTTTTCTCTCGTGTTAGTATTCTTTCTGGCATACATTGTTATATTTGTGTCTGAATGGAGTGTGGTTTCTCATTCCCCCACAGTGTTTTGCCTTCAAGGTGCCTCTATTTCTTTCTAGCTTAAAGCTATTTAATGGCATAACTGACAGTCTGCAGCAGATGCTTGTGTAATTTAATTTGGCTTACTCCATGACATGGGGGGAGGGATACCTCAGTGGTTTGAGCGTTGGCCTGCTAAACCCAGGATTGAGAGTTCAATCCTTACAGACGCCATTTAGGGATTTTGGGCAAAAAAATTTCAGGGATGGTATTTGGTCCTGCTGTGAAGGCACAGGAATGGACTTGATGATCTTTCAAGGTCCCTTCCAGTTCTAGGAGATAGGCAATCTCCATTAATAATCAAGTCCTGATCACATACAGCTTTACTAGAGCAAGAGGGAGCAAAGGGTATAGCTTCTCTGGAAAGTGTCAGTGACAGGTGTCAACTACTCCTCTGAAACTTTTGTCCATTTGGCACTCTTAGTCAAACAGTTCCTGACTTCAGCACATCAATTTCTTCTTTGATTCATAGTGGTGTGAAGCACAGTATACCCTCAAACAAATGTGCAGTAACTTGATAATCAAAAGGATGGTTTCTGTGCCCATATTTATATGGTTAACTACACTTCATTCCTCAGGTCCATAAGTCATCAGCATATTTCTTCAACAATAAACAGTGTATGTAGAATACTGTTCTACCTCTTTCTGTATGATTTGCATTGGAAAAGTTTCAGAAAAGGGCAACAAAAATCATGAGGCGTTTGGAACGGATCCCATATTAAGAGAGATTAAAAAGACTTGGATTTTTCAGCTTAGAAAAGAGGAGACTAAGGGGGGATATGATAGAGGACTATACAATCATGGCTGGTATGGAAAAAGTAAATAAGGAAAAGTTATTTACTTATTCCCACAATATAAGAATTAGAGGTCACCAAATGAAATTAATAGGTATCAGGTTTAAAACAAACAAAAGGAAGCTTTTCTTCACTCAGCGCACCGTCAACCTGTGGAACTCCTTGCCAGAGGATTCAATGAAGGCTAGAACTTTAAAAGGGTTCATTAAAGAGCTAGATAGATTCATGGAGGTTAGGCCAATCAATGGCTATTAGTCAGGATGGGTAGGAATGGTGTCCCTAGCCCAAGGATGTCCAACCTGTGGCTCGCGAGCCGCATGCAGTTCTTCAAAGAAAAAATTGTGGCACCCACATCTCTGGCTCTTAAAGGGGCAGTATGTTTCTGTCTGAAAGAGACAGAGCCGGAGTTGCGGCATCTCATGCCTGGCCTGCTCTGCTCTTAAAAGGGAAAACGCGGTGGCTGGGGCTTTTGTTTGTTTTGTTTTTTGCTCAACAACTTTTTTCCCTCGGCTCTTTGCACTGTATCTACCACTGTATTTCCCACCCGTGCCCTAGTCTCTGTTCTCTGGAGGTGGGTGCCAGAGGAGGGAATCACATGAGGATTACCTATTGTGTTCTGTCCCTCTGGGACATCTGGTATTGGCCACTGTCAGCAGACAGGATCATAGACTAGATGGATCTTTGGTCTGACCCAGCATGGCCGTTCTTATGTACAAAAATGTGAAAGACTGCCATTGACTTCAATAGGCATTGAATTGAGCCTTATGTACCTTAAGAAAAATATTGATAGGAATCCCATGGATTACAGGAACCACTAAAGAAACCTGGTGAGTTCAATGTGAGGAGCAATAGGTTTCTGGTAGCTAAATACAGCAGGATAGCCTCTAAAAGATATATCTTTCAGAATTAATGTGAATACCCTTCCTGATTTCATCGAAGAATTAAAATACACCACAAAGATGGAAGAAATCAGGGCAACATTTTTTTAAAAGTGACTTCAGTGCTCAGTTTAAAACACTGGATTTTGGGGAGTCAGGTGGTCTGCACTTTCTGGAAAACAACCTCTTGTAAGCAATCTCAAGTGGAATATCCAGTCACAAGCCCCTTTTGACAATACTGACCTTAGTGAATTGGTGGCATAGTCAGGTTTAATACCATAGCATTTTGAATCCCGTTTAAAACTAGTGATTTATTTAAAAAAAGTTTGTTATTTAATTCACAACAACTTCCTCTTGTTCTTTTCATGGGGCTGTCTGTTAGCTCAGTAACACTCAAATA